CTATGCTCTGTGTGCTTTCAGAATGACTGGCTGGCCCGCTCGGTGTTCCTCTTTCCACTGGCGCTTGCGCAACATGGTCTGCGCCTGACGCTCGAGGGCCGACCGGGGACGACCTTTCCTCCGATGTGAATCGCCGTCTTCAGCATGATGACCGGCAGCTCCTGTATGGTGATCTGCTCGGGCACAATCGCTGGGTCCGTGGGCACCGCCTCTGTCTTCTCCGCTGCCGCTGTCTGTTCGAGCAGCGTCTTCTCCGTGAGGCTGTTGCGTTTGTCTGTGCTCAGCCAAGGACTGTGTGCGAATGGACCCATCATCATGCACAGTTCCCATTCGGGCGCAAGGATCCCCTTCGCGCAGCGAGCTTCGATCCTGAGATTAGGAAACATGTCGCCGAACCCCTGCTCCGCCATCCACTCCATGAGCGCCACCAGCTGGCTCGAGCACCTCCGCCGCCGCCTCGCCGCCTCCATCCCGTCGTCTCTGGCCCAGGTACGCGCGCGACGACGCGCTGGAAGTGCGCCTCCTGGGTCAAGCTCTCTCGTGGTCAACATCCGCAAGCATATAGTCGCTCAGCTCCGCCAGCCGAAATCGAAGCGACACGCTGCGTGCAAGGCCGCTTCGGGGCGCGCGTTTGGACATGGTCAAGACGTGCTTTCGACCTGCTGCTCTGCTCGCCAGGCTTGTACGGCAGCAGCGGCACCAGCACGGTGGAGCAGCAGAAGGGGGACACGCAGAGGGGGAGCACGCAGCAGCGCCAGCGGAGAAGCAGCAGCAGCAGAAGGGGAGCACACGAAGGGCACCGCCACGAGAAGGGGGTAGGCCCCACAAGAACGCAAGACCCGACAGGAGGAGGAGGAGCAGCAGCAGCAGCAGCAGGAGGAGGAGAAGGTGCGAATCCTTGTGTATTGCCTGATGCCCTCGAAGTGAATGAGGGGTACCACCGCCTGTCAGCGCGCTGTGCTCGCGGCTGCGGCTCTGGTTCCGACGACTCTGCGGAGCGTATCCGGAGGCTCGCCCGCGGGGTTCGTGCGAGGAGAAAGCGACAGACCAAGGGAGAAGATCGGTCAGAGATGGTGCGAGCACCAGGGCGTGCGCAAGTTCCGTGTGCGCAGGAGGGAGGAGGGGCCACCTGGCGGCGGCTGGAATCCTAAGCTTCGGCCCCTAGACCGCCATCGAGGATCGAGGGGGGAAGGCTTGTGGATTTCTTTGGTGCATACTGAAGCGTTCAGAGCGCTTTGGGATCAAGTTCCAGGGCGGAAGCAAAGCAAGCGCCGCGTCGGCGTCGTCGCCGCAGTCGGCGTCGGCGCCCTCGTCACCGTCGTCGGGGGGCGACGACGACGAGAGGGCAGCCTTGGCCACCATGCTAAAGTCGAAGTGCATGCCGCTCTCGAAGATCATCATCGCCACCCCGGTCTGGCCTTCCCGCCGTCGGCGGCGGGGGCCGGCGCCCGAGTGCGGCCAGGGAGGGGGGAGGAGGGGACAGGGGGATGAAGGGGAGAGCAGGAGGAAGATGAAGGGGCAGGAGGAGCAGGGGAAAGACGAGGAGGGAGGAGGGGATGGATGGGGGGAGGGGGAGGGGAGAGGAGGAGCGGGATGGGGAGCTACGGCGCCCGGACAGAAAGTGTCCACACCCATGGCGGTAAGGCGATGCAACATGCCCTTGCTTCGCACCCCTCCCCCACAAACCCAAACTTGAAGTGTCCACATTTTGTCACTGGCCTTTGGCCTACCGCCCAAGCCCGTCAACTTCGAATTATGGGGAAGGGGGGCTATACATTTTGGTCCGATGTGCTTTGATAGCTCAAGGTCTTGGCGAGGCACACGTGGACACTTCTAGTCCGCCCACCGTAGTGGGCGCAAAGTGGCTAACTCCAGCCCAGCACTGCCTACGTAGTAGAGGGTGCCCGCTATTTGCAGCAGCGGCTCGCGCACCACAGGATAGATGGCTCCAGCCGTGATTTCCACTACGCTGCGACGTTGATCGCGACTTCGGAGGTCGGGAAGTCGCGAGGGTCTCCGGCCCCTGCAGAACCTCCACGTCTGGCCAGAACCAGTGCGCTCCCCCAGGAAACATAAACTCTAGCATGGGCTCGCCAGAGAGGAGGAGGGGGAGGAGGAGGAGGAGGAGGAGGAGGAGGAGGAGGAGGAGGAGGAGGAGGAGGAGAGGAGGAGGAGGAGGAGGAGGAGGAGGAGGAGGAGGAGTGAAAACATGGCTCCAGCGTCCCTCTAAAGACAGTTCAACGTAGCAGCAGGCTGCTGGGGCTGACCGTCCTGAAGCGCCTGAGGCGGTGCCATCACCTCCGTGGGCGGAAACATGAGCCGATCCCCGCCCGTAAGCGTGAGACCGACGGGGCTGGGCGAGGACCCCGGGTGTCAAGAAAACAATATGAAAGCCCACGACGCACGCACTGTTTTGAGGAAGCATGCAAATATCTAGTTTATCTAGATTATAATATCATAAGAGAAACAGATCCTGGCTGTTAATGAACTCGGTAAAATATGCTGCGCCATGGGTTTTCGCAGGCGGTTGCGCCCAAAGGTCCCATGGTGCCCCGGGTTCTTTGGAGCACCATATAAACTGCGTCATCGCTTGCGCAAAGGGTTGGACCCATGGGGTCCCACGGTTTCCTGGGATTGTCGGTTGCCTGCAATGGGTTGAGCCGCATGCGGCGCCCATAGGGTCCGATATGCCCTGGGAAGGCGTCCGCGTTGTAGGTTGCGACACAATTCGGTTGCGCCGCGGAATATGTTGAAGTGTTCTGCTTGCCGTTGCTTTGAACTGTGTTACCCTGCCAAGCTATGCGATGCTTAGCAATGCTCGTGATTGCTTATCCTTCCTCGATGTCCACTGCAGTGCGCGTCATATACTGCAATGCCAAGCTGTTTTGGGCCCACGCGGGAAATCGTGGCGTATCACGTTCGCGGGTACTGCCGCTGCCTACACGTGGTGAATTCCATCCATCTAATGCTCCACGCTGCGCGGATGTCTACCAGCAGACGTTGGTATCCACGTTGCTATGTGTCTCTAAGCGGGCACCAAGACAAGTGCCCATTCGGACGCATGGGATCTGATTTTGCCCGCGGGCACTGTAGACATGTGGGCCCAGTCATACGTGCAATGCTGACGAGGTCGATGGGGGCGTCGTCAAGGCTGCCTCCTCCTCTTCCTGTCCTGTCTCCTCGACCTCCCCGATCCTCCCCCACCTTGGGCCCTCCACATGCTCTTACGTAGGTAGCTCGACTTCGCGCCTCGCACTGCGCGAAGCGCTGTCATCTTCGCGCTCTCGCGCGGGGGGCCCGGGAGATGAGCAACTGTCTGGCCCAGACCGCGAGGCACGAACCGCGGTTATCGTGGCGCCCCTGCGGGTAACCCAGAAGGGCTTCGCCCCAACGACCCAGCTTACCCCCACGGACATCCTACGCGTGTGAGTTTCAATCCGCGGGGCCCCGAGGGCAGTCTGGCCCGTCAGCTGCCCCTGGAGGTCGACAGCGGGTAAGAACGCTGGGATCGAAACAAATAACAGTCAGCCACAGGCCTGGGCCTGTCCCCTCCCCGCGCAGCCGACGAGGGTGAAGATGTCTGGGAAGAGCTGGCAGTTCGTGTCCACGTGGTGCTTGCACTCCCCCACGAGGCACTCCCCGTATGACCCGTACTCGTCGCTGCCACCTGCCGCCCCCCTTGCTTCTTTGCCTGCCCTTGCGTGACCACGGCAGCAGAAACCACCTCCTCCTCCCCCTCCTCCTCCTCCTCCTCTTCCTCCTCCTCCTGCTCCTCCTCCTCCTCCTGCTGCTCCTCACGCTCATCCTCCTCTTTCTCTTTCTCCTCCTCCTCCTTCTCACACCACCTCCACCTCCTCCTCTTCTTATTCGTATTATTATTACTATTCGTATTCGTCTGAGTATTATTACTGCTGTTATGTTTAGTAGTATGCTTTGTATTCGTATTAGTCATGTTATTCATCAGATGAGTATTATTCTTAGCATTGTTATTCGTAGTACTAGTATTATTAGACTTAGACTTATTACTGGTGTTGTTATTATTCGTATTCGTATTGTTCGTATTGTGAGTGTTATCCTTATGATTACTATTGACATTCGCATTGTTATTCGTAGTATGGCTAGTATTCGTAACACTATGTTGGTCATTCGTACTAGTCGGAGGTGAGGGGGTGAGATCGAAGTGGAACGGAGAGCCCCCCTACCGGGAAATCGATTTCGGTTTCGTGTTCGTGCGTGCCGTGCGGGCGAGGCGAAGCTGCGTGGGCGGGCGAGAGAAAGTCTCCTGTGGCTGAGGCGCGGCTGGACCAAATGACTCCCTTCCGGGCGGCCGGGGGCCCGCGGTGTCCCGCCGGTGTCCCGCTGGTGTCCCGTGTGGCTGAGGCGCGGCCGGACCCAATGACTCCCTTCCGGGCGGCCAGGGGCCCGCGGTGTCCCGCCGGTGTCCCGTCGGTGTCCCGTGTGGCTGAGGCGCGGCCGGACCAAATGATTCCCTTCCGGGCGGCCGGGAGCCCGCGGTGTCCCGCCGGTGTCCCGTCGGTGTCCCGTCGGTGTCCCGATAATGATGTTGTTGATGATGATCATGATGGTTATGTTGATGGTGATGATGATGACGATGATGGTGTCCTGATGATGATGATTATGTTGATGTTGATGATGATGGGATGACGATGATGATGATGATGTTTCTGCCCGTTGTTGTTGATGATGATGTTGGTAATTATGGTGCTGCTGATGATGATTATGGTCTCCCGATGATGATGATGATTATGACGGTGGTGATGATGATGGTGATGGTGATGGTGTGCCGATGATGATATTGATGATGATGTTGGTGATGATGATGCTGCTGATGATGTTGATGATGCTAATGAGCTGATGATGATGATGATGATGATGATGGTGTCCCGATGTTGTTGTTGATGGTGTTGACGATGAAAATGATGGTGACCATGATGGTGTCCCGATGATGATGATGATGATGATGTTGATGGTGATGATGACGATGGCTGTCCCGATGATGATGATGACTATGATGAGATGATGATGGCGTTGATGGTGATGGCCTGATGATGATGGCGTTGATGATGATGGCGACGATGATGATGTGAAGATGACAGTGTCCCGATGACGATGGAGATGGTGTTGTTGTTGATGATGATGACGTTGAATGTTAGATCGATTGTGATATCGGTAGTGAGATCGATAGTGAGACCGAATGTGAGATCGATTGTGAGATCGATAATCAGATCAATTATGAGACCGAGCGAATGAGATAGATCGAGTGAGATCGATTGTGAGATCGATCGAGTGAAATCGATCGAGCGAGACCGATAGTGAGATGGATAGTGAGACCGATCGAGTGAGACGCTGCATCCTCCCCCCCCCGAACCTCCTTATCACCCGAAGGGTGGTCGTATAGGTACTCGTATTATTCATGTTGCTTGTCTTCTTAGTCTTCGTCTTATGCTGAGTACTGCTAAGATTATTAACATTAGGATTTGCATTATTCTGATTATTATTCCTCCTCCTCCTCCTCCTCCTTCTCCTCCTCCACCTCCTCCTCCTCCTCCTCAAGGCTTAGATGGCCAATGCGCTCCCCATAGGGAAACAGGGCGAAGGCCAATTGGAGTCGCGCCAACAAAGGGAAATCCCCAAACTATAGACGGGGTAACGCGGTCATCTTAGGTGACCTGCTTCCCTTTTCTACAGTGTTCGAGCTCAGACAAGAGCTAGACGACGTTTGATGTATTAGCTTCGGCTTTGTATTTGGGTAATTCCAGTGGTGCTCTTTTGTTTGTCCTGTTACGCACTTAGAAAACCGACCCTTTTCGACTGAAAGGGGCCGGTTTCACTGGCGGTCTGAAGCGCGACGAGAGCACCAGAGGAAAACCCGTTCAGCGAACATTTATTCCTTCTCCTTCAGCGTACTTGGCGCCAGGCAGGTGCAGAGGAGGCGGACGACTGTGTGGCGGCATCCTTGTTTTTCACGTGTGGTTCAACAGCTGTTGTGGACTCATCTGCAACAATAGAAGGGAATACCACAGTGCCCAGTCGAAGAACTGGTCAGTCCCTGATAACTCTGAGAAGCAGGGTAGCCTCTTCCTCTTCCTTCCCTCCCTTCCTCCTCTTTCTTCCGCCCTTCTCCTCCTCCTGGGTTGGGTTCGGTGGAGCCGCTTTTGTATCGGCAACGCTTTGGGCATGGCCTGAAGGTCGGTTGCTGGCTGATTCAGCTCGCCTGACTTAGTTCACCCCGAAGCGAATGTCAACAAAAAATGTCCTCCTCCTCCTCCTCCTCCTCCTCCTCCCCGTCCTCCTTCCCCTCCTCCTCCTCCTCCTTCTCCTCTCCTCCCCTCCCCCTCCGGTTCCTCCTTCTCCCCCCTCTTCCCCCCCTAGCTCTTCATGCCGCGTCCTCAGCCTGCCTCCCTCCACCCCCTCCTCCTCCTCCTCCTCCTCCTCCTCCTCCTCCTCCTCCTCCTCCTCCTCCTCCTCCTCCTCCTCCTAGCAAACCTCCGTGTGGCCCCCTCGGCGCCACGATTGGATCCGCAGAACACGGTCCAGCTGAGGAGGAGGAGGAGGAGGAGGAGGAGGACGGGGAATAGGGGGGAGGAGAAGGAGAAGGAGGAGGAGGAGGAGGACGAGGAGGAGGACGAGGAGGAAGAGGAGGAGGACGAGGAGGAGGAGGAGAAGGAGGAAAACTCTGGCGGGAAAATCTGGAAGCGCTGGCTCCAGCGTGCCGGATGTGGTGGAGATCGGCCGACAGCTCCGCCCGCGCCTGTACATCAACCGCCGTGCCGCGAGGCACTTGGGGAAGTGTCTTCAGATCACCTTCGGGTTCTCAACCCCAGACTCTCACTCCAGAAGAATCAATCTTGCTGATCCCACCTTCGGAGCCCATCGCGTACCTCAGCTGTAATGCCCACATCGTCTCTCGTATCCGTCTTTTCTCTGGCAGATGCTGCACATCAAAGCACACAGTTGGGCTTCCAGCCTACAGCAACAGCAATCATCAGTTCAAGCCTGCTTGTTTTTGGTTTCTCGCGTGCCATCCAGCATGTACTCCCCAAGCCCTCGATACCCGCCCTCTCCGTCCTCGATAGTACCCCCTTTTGGGGTAGAATTGTTTTGCCACATGTTGCTGTGGCGACCCCAAACATAAAAAAGATAAGGGCAAAGAAAAAACGGAGAGAGCGAGGAAGGGAGGAAACGAGAGGGGAGGGGTGCAAGAGGAAGGAACGATAACTGGATACGAAAAGGATCTCGCAAGAGGGCGCGGAGAGACGGGCGGGAAGATTCTCAGCGCCCCTCTAACGGGGACTCCACTAATGGGCACTTTGACCAGTGACCTGGCGAACCCAATCCTCCCCGATGTGGGCAACGCTGCAATGCCAGAAAGAGGCCCAAAGTGACAACTTTCGGCAATTGTCCAAAGCACTTCAGATTTCGTAATAAAAGGGAGGGGGTCTGGACCCTCCAAGACAAGCCATTTCAGGCCCCCCCCCGTGGGAGAACCCTCCAAAACATCGTCCCCAGACCCCCCCAGGCCCTCCAAGATAGATTGGAAGAGACCCCCCCCCGAATCCAGACCCCCTCCCTTTTATTACGAAATCTGGAGTACCCGTTAGTGAGTACCCGTTACGGTGCCGCCGAGATTCGCGGGCGCACCCTCGACCGGCAGGTCGGGCGGGGGCGGGCCCTTCTGGGCAGGTCGGGCGAGCGGCCCCTCGACGGGGGCGGGGGCGGGGCGGCTCCGGCTCCGACGCCTGCCCCCGGCACGTCCTC